CAATCTCTCGTACCCACACCAACACACACACACACATTCAGACAAGCACTGTAATTAGGCCAAAAGGCACACGTACACACAATAATCAAAACAAGACATATTCTTTACAACATCATCCTGCCTCTTTCAGGCAATGACTGTATGGCTAATCATTGACTATTGCCATGAATGGGTTGGTTTCTGTGTTGTTTCTGGCTGATGGATATGGTGCGAAACTCCACAGAGAGGGGAGAGAGTGCGAGGGAGAGAGAGAGAGAGAGAGAGGGAGAGTGTGTGTGTGTGTGTGTGTGTGTGTGTGTGCACGTGTGTGTGTTTGCCAATACTGTCAAATACATCCCGTATAACCACATACGAGTGTCCTTTTCCATCTTTATCTCCAAAGACATTGTATTATCCAGTGTCTAACCCTCTCTGTCCTCTCTCTACCCCCCAGGTGTGGTTGCAGCAGTATGGCTACCTGCCCCCAGGTGATGTCCGAGCCCAGGCTATCCGTTCTCCCAAGTCCATCACAACAGCCATCACAGCCATGCAGAGGTTCTACGGCCTGGCCGTCACCGGATCTATCGACATCAACACCCTACAGTGAGTACCATGACACAAAATGGAGGGCTAAATAGAACAATGAGTCCTGCTGACCTGAGATACGTAACCACTGTGAGAATTGCACTGCTAATGCAATTGCACTGAGCAACCTCACTCATAAAGCCCCATAGTATTTTATGTTTTTAGAGCACAAAAGAATCAAAGAGTCTCAGGACAAGTCAGAAATGAAATAGTTAATGGCACAGTGAGTGAGATTGACAGGTGTGTCTTGCCATTGCCAGGGCGATGAAGCGGCCGCGTTGCGGTGTTCCGGACAAGTTTGGCTCTGAGCTGAAGAGCAACCTGAGGAGGAAGAGATACGCCGTACAGGGGCTGAAGTGGGACAAACAAGAGGTCACATTCAGGTGAGACTACAATACTGCTTTAGTACAACAACACACAGTTTACTAGCCTGGTCCCAGATCTGTATGTGTACTTGCCAACATTTGGCATGATAATGAGTGACAGGGAGTTGGTATGATGGCACAAACAGACTGGCACTTAGGCAACAGTTGTAATGTCTGTGTAAGTCTAATTTTCTATCAAGTCTTGTGAACATTTTTGTATCATTTGAATCAGACTAAATGTAAATTAACCAAGATCTGATTCTAAAGGAATACTGATTCAAATCAAAACAGATTCATATTGAGCTTGCATCAAGGAAGTATTGCACAAAGTTCCACAAAAGAATGCAGAGGAAGAACCAATACACACTTTAGAAGATCTTGTTAAATATTTTATCTTTAAAATGTACTAACATCTGCTATTTCCTCCCTGTCTCTCTCCTAGCATACAGAACTACACCCCTAAGATAGGGGAGCATGCTACATACGAGGCCATCCGCCGGGCGTTTAAGGTGTGGGAGGCAGTCATCCCTCTCCGCTTCCGAGAGATCCCTTACAGCCACATCCGGGACAAGGTCGACAAGTACGCTGACATCATGCTGTCATTCTCCGAGGGTTTCCACGGCGACAGCACGCCGTTCGACGGCGAGGGCGGCTTCCTGGCTCACGCATACTTCCCCGGGAACGGGATAGGGGGTGACACGCACTTCGACAACGCTGAACCCTGGACAACCGGCTACGTCGACCAAGGGGGTAGGTGAACTGGATGGAGGAGGAGGAGGAGGGGAAGGGAAAGGAGGAAGAAGGAAAGGAGATGGTCAGAAAGAGGGTTTTCACTGGGTTGTCTGTTAGCCGTAATACAGTCATTCACAATTATACAGTACTGCTAGGGCGTCAGTACTTTGTTTGGTGAACGTGCTACCTACTCTTAGGCAAAAAGGGAGAGGAGACGAGAGAGAGAGAAGGAGCCGAGAGTCGAGAGAGCGATAGCGCGAGAGGAGAGAGAGAGAGAGACTCATCTCTAGCGATCGCTAGAGTAGCGATCTCTAGAGATCTCTCTATCGCTCATCTCGCATCTCTTCTCTCTCTCTCCTCTCTCTTTCTCTCTCTCTTCTCTCTCCTCTCTCTCTCTCTCTCTCTCTAATTCAAATAGCTTTATTGGCATGACAAACATTGTGTAAATATTGCCAAAGCATCAATGTTACAACTTCATTGAGTCATATACATTGTAATAAAATAAAATAGTAATAATAAAAAGTATCTCTCTCTGCAGGTAATGATGTGTTCCTGGTTGCGGTCCATGAGTTGGGTCATGCCCTGGGTCTAGAACACTCCAACGAGCCGTCTGCCATCATGGCTCCATTCTACCAGTGGATGGACACAGAGAACTTCCAGTTACCTGATGACGATCGCCATGGCATCCAGGCAATCTATGGTAAACTCCCAGTTCCATTGTAATGCTGTAGGTATGTTCTTGGAATGTTATAACAATGTTCCTGGATTGTTACAGCAATGCTAAAAAGGTTCTAATCTAGTTCATCATTACACAGCATGAAGGACGTTTCAAATCACATTCTGTTCATAAAACATTCTGTTGACTTTGGGAATTCACTCAGTCCCCTCAGTTCTACCTCTGCTTATAGGATTTCCTTATTTTGTACTGACTGTGTTCCACCACAGGGTCGTCCGGAGCGCCACCCCCTCCCCCCCGCCCCACCAGACCCTCCAAGCCAGACCACCCTGGACTCGGACCAGACGTCTGCGAGGGACACTTCGACACCATCGCCATCCTCAGGGGGGAGATGTTTGTCTTTAAGGTTGATATTGACATAAATGTACTTACTTACACACACTGAGAAGGACTGAATGACACAAAACTACCAAAACTTAGGTGTACTGTACAATGCAAACACTCACCGTCTCTCTGGTCCAGGATCAGTGGTTGTGGTGTGTGTGTACAGCTATGAACTGTGTTAACTCTATGTCTCTGTCTCTCTGGTGCAGGATAAATGGTTATGGCGTGTTCGGAACAACAAGGTGCTCCAGGGTTACCCCATGCCCATCGGTCACTTCTGGAAGGGACTGCCACCAAACATCAACGCTGCCTATGAGAGGAACGATGGCCAATTTGTCTTCTTCAAGGGTTGGTCTAGTTTTTTTTAAAATCAGTTGTTTGCAAGATTACTTTTCATTAATAACAATTATGTCTAGTAGTTATTCATTATTGTTGTATTTACAGTATGTAGGTTACTTCTAAAACTCTTTGCAGATTTATGTAGTCATATTTTCTTTATTCTCTCTGTCCCTAGGTGACAAGTACTGGGTGTTCACAGAGTCCAGTATGGAGCAGGGTTATCCTAAGAGTCTGAAGGAGCTGGGTACAGGGCTGCCCAAAGACAAGCTGGATGCTGCCCTCTTCTACACCCCCACCGGACAGACATACTACTTCAGAGGGACCAAGTGAGTCAGTATGTCTGTCTGTCTGTCTGTTGGTCGGTGGGTCTGTCTGTCTGTCTTTTTTTCTTTCTCTCCCTCTCTTTCTTCATCCACTATCCTCCACTCTCTTCTACGTCTATCTACCCATACCTATCCTCTCTCTTTCCCCCATTCTTTCTCCTTTTCCTCTCCGTAACTGACTTCCCCTCTCTCTCTGTCTGTCAGGTATTACCGTTTCAATGAGCAGTCCCAGACTGTGGACAAAGACTACCCCAAACCCATCAACACATGGCAGGGCGTCCCCGACAACGTCAAGGCTGCCATCATGAGCGAAGAAGGATGTAAGTGTGTGTGTGTGTGGGACAGAGAGTTGCATGCCTGCATGTTTGAACGCTATCTTGTGTCAGTGTCACAGAACATTTCTATGAACGATAAGAAGTGGTACACTAGTATAACACCTTAACACATATATATAATATAGTAGAATATCTGAAGCTCGTAATAAAGTCAATGTTTGTATGAACTTCCCTTTTCCCCCAGCCTACACCTACTTCTATAAAGCCAACAAGTACTGGAAGTTCAACAACCAACACATGAGGGTGGAGTCGGGCTACCCCAAGTCGGTGCTCAGCGAATGGATGGGCTGTGCGGGGGAGGAGCCTAAGAAGCGGGACGGCGAGGAGGAAGTCATCATCATCGAGGTGGAGGAGGAGGGAGAAGGCGGGGTCACGGCGGTGGCCGTGGTGATCCCTCTCCTCCTATTGGTCTGCGTGGTCCTCACTCTGGGAGCCCTGCTGTTCTTCAGGAGGTACGGGACGCCACGACGTCTCCTCTACTGCCAGAGATCTCTACTGACTAAGGTTTAGAGACGGAGTGAATGAACCAATGACGCAGAGGGACTGAGAAAGAGAGTGACTGAACGAATTGAAAGATTGAAAGAAAGAGGGGAGAGGGAGGGACAGGGTGAGAAAACGGAGGATGAGGAAAGGGGATGAAAGGAGTTGGATTGTGTGGTAAGCGAGAAGGGGTAATGTAAGGGGGGTTGGTTGGTTGGTTGGGTTGTATATGCCACAGACAGAGGATGAGAGAGAGATATAGGAGAGAGAGAGATATAGGAGGGAGAGAGAGATCAGAGGGAGAGAGAGATCAGAGGGAGAGAGAGATCAGAGGGAGAGAGATATAGGAGAGAGAGAGAGATCGGAGGGAGAGAGAGATCGGAGGGAGAGAGAGATCAGAGGGAGAGAGAGATAGGAGGGAGAGAGATAGGAGGGAGAGAGAGATCGGAGAGAGAGAGAGATCGGAGGGAGAGAGAGATCGGAGAGAGAGAGAGATAGGAGGGAGAGAGAGATCGGAGGGAGAGAGCGAGAGAGATAGGAGAGAGAGATATATATAGGAGAGAGAGAGATATATATAGGAGAGAGAGAGTCTGAATTAGGAAAGACGTGTATTTGTATGTTATCTATTTACATGTACAGCATGTTTGAAATTAGGACCAGGCCTCAACACACACACAGAGGAGAGAAACAGAGAGAGGATGATGATCGTGACCAACATCCTGTATAGTTGACACCCCATCTGCAATAAATCTACTATCATGTCCCTCCCTCCCTCCATTCTATCCCTTCTCCTCTTCTTTTTCTTCCTCTCCTAAATCCTCCATCCCTCCCATCTACTTGACGACTCCAGCTGAACTGCTGTCTGAATTAAATGTTTCACCCTACAGTATATAATATACTTTGTTGTTTTCATTTTCGATTTCGCTCTGAGACTCAGGCATGATCACAAACAATCACCTCTCTCTTCTTTTCTCTTGCTAGTTTCCCCCTGTGCTCCAGCTACATTAGCACATAGCCACCACAGGAGGTTGGTGACACCTTAATTGGGGAGGACAGGCTTGTGGTAATGGCTGAAGTGGAATAAATGGAATGGTATCAAACACACGGTTTCCATGGTTTCCATGTGTATGATGCCATTCCATTCGCTCCGTTCCAGCCATTATTATGAGCCGTCTTCCCCTCAGCAGCCTCTGATAACCATATAAGGTTTTATAGCTGTTGCAAAGAGCATGTTATAGGCATGACCTTCACCCTAGAGAGGAGATTAGGGAGTCGTTTTGAGGGTGCTCTCCCTACCCAGGGTTGAAATGAGACAGGCTCAGAAATTAAGGCCATGTCAGAAAGATGGCTGCCGTTTATACACATTGACAATTACATTTGACCACTAGTATCGTAAATATGTAGCTTTTCCTCCCAATTACTGTACATTTTTCACTATACACTTCTGTTTAAACCATATCTCAAATTGCTCAAGCCCTCAGTACAGAGCCTGGTCTCAGTAAGCAGTCAAAGTTGGATGGAATTAAAGTAGCCATTTTGACTCAATAAAGCCAGTTTCAATGTTACTACATAATAAAACGGTGAAGTTCAATCACATGGTACCCACTCCAAATACTAATGTCTTATTGTGGTCTTTTGTTTTTTTGTTACTATTATTATGACTATGGTTATTATTATTATTGTTGTTCTCTGGGTGTAGTCCTTTGGTAAATTGTGTTTGTTGTTTTTGTACATTGTCATGTTGAGTCCTGCTGGACAGAGGCAATAACGTGACAATGATTGAATCAAAATGGCTCCCATTTTCCCATTAAAGTGGTGGACTTGGACAGTACAGAGGGGGTATTTGAAGATTTTGGAAAGTGTTTCCTTTTTTTCGAAACACAGTTATTTTCCCATTGATTGGTTGGCATATAAAGACAATCAAACAAAACTATTTATAAGCAATTCTGATGGTGCTTAATGTTTTTTTTTGTTTTACACAAATTGAAAAATGAGGTAGAATTGTTTTAATAATAACAATGATAATGGTAATGATATTTATAATGATAATGCCTGTTTTTCATCTTTTTGTATTTCATGAGTTAAATTGAAATAAAAAATATTTTCTAAAACGTGTCCTACTCTCACCTCTACATGCTTCTGGGTAGTGATTTTCTCCTGGCCCAACACACACACACACGCATGCACACACGCACTGGAGAAGAGAATGGTCTTCAGACTACTGTCTCATACACAAATAGCAGCCTGGCCTCAACACTATTCAAACAGGACTATAGGGGCTGGATTCAATCCGTATTGTCGAATTATCGCGGAAGATCCACATTAAAATGTAGGTCATTTTCCGATTGAGCAGACAGACATAAGCGGCGTTTACCGTGAATGCAGTCTCCGAGACCGTGGTAACACTGCCTTTAATTTTCAATCATGCTATGGAAGCGGATCTTCAGCTTTACGCATTGAATAGAGCCCTAGGAGTACTTAGCGAGCCACAGAATGAAGAGCTGGTTCTATGTTGTTCTGTGCATTCCTTGTTAACAAGCAATTGTTTACAGCTTACCAGGGGCCATGGATGGAGAAGAGAGGAGAGGACAGCCTAGTTGAACCTGGGAGGGTGTTTTGGACATGGCTGGAGTCATGAGCCCCGGGAATGGAGAAGTGGAAAAAGTGATGGAATTATCACGTTTTTCTTAGTGCAGTGTTCCAACTGAGTTCTGTTAACAACATCTGGAATTCTTAAAACATCTGAGCTTCCAGCCCCAACCCAGCGAGAGAGAGAGAGAGAAAGAGAGAAAGAGAGAGCGAGAGAAAGAGAGAGAAAAAGAGAGAGTATGCGCTCATTTAAGAGTGAGGTGTCCAGTAAAGCTGAAATGATTGTATAGGTTTTAGAACATTTTCTCACCTGCTGCAAAGTAGTTATTTTGAAGAGGTCTCCTCCTCCACCACTCACCAAGTATCTCTACTCTGTTCTCTCTCCTCTCCCCCCATTCCCCCATTCCCTCTCTCTCCCCCCATTCCCCCATTCCCTCTCTCTCCCCCCATTCCCCCCTCTTCTCTCTCTTTTTTCCCTCTCCTCTCCTTCCATTCCCCCATCCCATCTCTCTCCTTTCTCCACATCCTTTAACTGTTTATGTGCCCTCTTGCAGGAGATCCTTCAGAATCTAGCTCTGTTTGGATTGGAAGACATTTTAACAGACATTTCTGATCCCTATAACTTTACGAAATGTAATAATTTTCGCTCCATTAAATGCTTGTTCATAACTTTCTCAAGCTTCACTCTTGTGGCTTCTACTGTGGATCTTCTTTCAGACTTTCCATTCTCTCTCTCTCCATCTTCCGCTCTCTTTCGTCCCACATCTGTTCGTGTCCTCTCCTGGCCCACTCTCTCTCCCCTCTCCATGTCACCTGGCATTTCCATCTCATACAGTAACTAATTTCTCCCAGTATTACAACCATTTATCTTCTCAGAATTATTTCCATTCCGACACTCCATTTGTATCTATTAGTACCTATCCTGCTGCCTAGTCACTTTATCCCTACCTATATGTACATATCTACCTCAATTACATCATACCCCTGCATATCGACTCAGTACTGGTTCCCCGTGTATATAGCCAAGTTATCGTTACTCATTTTGTATTTATTCCTCGTGTTATTATTTTTCTATTTATTTTCTCTGCATTGTTGGGAAGGGCCCGTAAGTAAGCATTTCACTGTTAGTCTACACCTGTTGTTTACGAAGGATGTACAAATACAGTTTTTTGATTTGATTTAACATTCACAAAGGATGGCTAGATGAACAGATGAGAGAAGAGGGAGAATGTGTGATAAACAGATGATAAAAGGCTCCGAGAGGAGGAATGTTTAGCGATGGGAGAGCATCCCACACACATGCTCATATAGATTTGTGCTACAGAGAAATAGAGCAGGCAGCCATAGTCAGTCTAGTTCGGCGTCCCGCCCCAACAACGTTCAGGCCTCAACCTCAGCACTCCTAACCCAGCCAGCCAGGAAGTGGGCTGGCCAGCTGTTTGCAATTCAACCTTTGGGTAACCTACATTGAGGCGAACTCTAAAGTATCTCACTCACACACACAGACACAAATACGGACTAACACGCACACATGAACACACACACACAAAGCCACAGCCATAGATTTTTGTATGACAGAAAGAGCGAGAAGAAAATTCCTTTGCAGTCTGAGTGCCAGAGTATCTGTTTATCCTATCTGCAAACCAAAAAGTGGAAAACCACAACCTCTCCAGTATAACAAGCATAGCACTATCAACAGGACAGTTGGCCTACAAGTACAACAGTGAGAGACTGAGATTTCATGTAACTCAACAAAACACAGCAGTTTCACACTGGTCAGGACATGACACCCTAACCAGGACTTGCTGAATCAGGCCCTCCACAAACCCCAACCCACCCAGCCCACCTCCCAATCTCTGCCCAGGCTCCCTCACCCTGGCCCAGTCATATCCGTCAGGAAACCGCTCTGCTTCGTCTCAGGCCTGTGGGCATAGTGCTGCAGTAACCGTTTGGCTGAATCTAAAACACTACCCCACCACATCAGAGGGATGAGAACTCTTCTGACCCTCTTCTCCTCCTTGCTCGTCTTTTCCTTCATCCATTCTTTCCTCTCTACCTCCGTGTGTGCTGCTGTTCACTACAGCAGACTGACCTCACCCCTCCTCCCCTCCCCTCCGTGACTTCTGCACAATAAGCAACATCTGGTTCTCATTTCCCAAAACCAAAACAACACGAGGATGGGAGGAGAGAGAGCGAGAGAGGAGAGAGAGAGAGAGAGAGATGAGTGGAGAGGGGGGGAAGCTGGAGAAGAGGAGTGAAGAGAAATACAGTAAGGAGTAAAACTGAGAATGATAGAGGGATAAAGATGAAAATAGTTACTTTTTACTATCAAAAAGAAGACAGGTCCTGGCTGTTTCACACATACCTCTGGGTTCTTCCAAAGGACATGTTAAGATGGATTAAATGTGTAGTAGAACAATGTGAATACGGGTGTGAGAAGTGAGAGGTTCATGCCAAGCCATTGTTCCAATGCTTTACAAATCTCACTTGGGAGGGAGCGAATAAGTGAGAGAATCAGTCTGAGAGACTTT